CACACACACACACACACACACACACACACACACACACACACACACACACACACACACACACACACACACACACACACACACACACACCCTCAGGCCTGCACTGTCATCTTACATTTAGCATCACTGTGTGTGTGTGTGTGTGTGTGTGTGTGTGTGTGTGTGTGTGTGTGTGTGTGTGTGTGTGTGTGTGTGTGTGTGTGTGTGTGTGTGTGATGCAGATTAAACATGACGTGTCCTCTGTCTGTGCATCACGTCCTGTTTCTCTGTTCAGCCTATTATAAACAGACAGAAGCTAGATAGATAGATTATTTTTGGTGTTCAATATTTTTAGATCAAAGTTTAAATGCTAAAAATAAATATAACATGTTAAAGATGAAGAAACGCAAAGTATTTTATTTTTATTTTTTATTATTTTATTTTACAAAGTGTAAATGTATTAATGAAAGTGGGCAGATACTGACTGTTGCCGTTCGTTCAGCTCTTTATCTTTTCCTTCCAGATCTTTCTTCAGGCGCTCCATCATCTCCACCGCAGCACAGACCTGGAGTCAAAATCAATCACTTTAAAAAACATACTTTTTAATAACAGTTTAATATTTTGGAATTTACATATATATACATATCTCATATATTTGACTACTTTTCTTATTTTTTTGACATGGTTTTTTATATTTTGTGTATTTTCCACCTATTCTACATATATGTTTTGGACATATTTTTTAAATGTATGTTTTACCTACTTTTCAGATATTTCATATATTTTTGTGGGATTTTTTACATATTTTTCCGATATTTAAAATGAATATGTTTCCTCTACTTTTCTGATATTTTTCAGATACCCTTTAGAGATTAATCACATACTGTTCCTAAAAAGTGTTTAGCACATACTTTCTGGACCCTTTTTGACATTTATACTGTTTAGTGATCAAATAATCTGCAGCAGCGCTCACCTGTCTGGACAGGTACGACGCCCGCTCCTCCACTTCCTTTTTCTGGCTCTTCAGCCTCTCCCGGCCCCGCCTCTCTTTCTCTAGCTCCGCCTCCCTCTTCCGAAGCTCCGCCTTCAGTCTAAACACTCGTCGGTTCACCCTCTCTTCGACCTCCGCAAACATCCGTCCGATTTTAAGATCCACTCCGAGTCCCAGACGCTCTTCCAGCCCGATGTCAATGACCTCCAGGTTCAGGACCCCCACTTCACGTATCTTCGTATCCAGGAAAGGCTGCACAGACTGGGGGAGAGCCAGGGCTTTGGAGAGGTCCTCTGGAGGGTCCCCGAAGGAGGCCAGGTCCACCTGGAGGGAGAGGCCCAGAGAGGAGCTCTGTTTCTGGGGTAAAACGGGACCAGGGAGGGGGAGCAGAACGCTGGAGCTCCGGACACGACCCTGAGAGGAGAGGACTCTTTAAAGTAGAGACACTACATACTGATATACACCTGGACATCAGCAGGAGAGGACTCTTTAAAGTAGAGACACTACATACTGATATACACCTGAACATCAGCAGGAGAGGACTCTTTAAAGTAGAGACACTACATACTGATATACACCTGAACATCAGCAGGAGAGGACTCTTTAAAGTAGAGACACTACATACTGATATACACCTGAACATCAGCAGGAGAGGACTCTTTAAAGTAGAGACACTACATACTGATACACCTGAACATCAGCAGGAGAGGACTCTTTAAAGTAGAGACACTACATACTGATATACACCTGAACATCAGCAGGAGAGGACTCTTTAAAGTAGAGACACTACATACTGATATACACCTGAACATCAGCAGGAGAGGACTCTTTAAAGCAGAGACACTACATACTGATATACACCTGAACATCAGCAGGAGAGGACTCTTTAAAGTAGAGACACTACATACTGATATACACCTGAACATCAGCAGGAGAGGACTCTTTAAAGTAGAGACACTACATACTGATATACACCTGAACATCAGCAGGAGAGGACTCTTTAAAGTAGAGACACTACATACTGATATACACCTGAACATCAGCAGGAGAGGACTCTTTAAAGTAGAGACACTACATACTGATATACACCTGAACATCAGCAGGAGAGGACTCTTTAAAGTAGAGACACTACATACTGATATACACCTGAACATCAGCAGGAGAGGACTCTTTAAA